TCTCATGGCAGGCAGACAGCCACAGGCAAAATAACCAGAATTGCCATAGAATGGCAAATTACTGGATTATGGTAGAGTTTATGCGTACTTCTAATTTAGCCATAAATTTGTTTGTTTTCGCCCTACAAAAAAAAGTGTAAGCGGTGAGTTATGATTAGCTCAAGTGCCAGACCACTGAGTATGCCACAAATTCACAGGAGTACCGAAACAAGACAAAAAAAAAAAACAAAAGTAAATTAAAGGCCATAAATAATTGCAATTAATTTCAGCAGAAACTCATGACAGACACACACACTTGTGTGCTATACGAAACTAATAATAACAAAGGCAGACTGTCTAGTCTCCTAACGCATCAGATCCAACAGCACATAGTACACACAGGGACACAGACCCTAACACGTGACACATAATCGCATAAAAGTAATAAACTTGGCAAAAAGTGGTTGCCAGACTGACTGACTGACTGACTGACTGACCGACTGACGGGGTGGCTGGTTAGTTAGTTGGCTTGTGTGGTGCGTCCTGTGTGTGCGAAGCTGTTGGTAAAATGATTACAAAGAAGTTGCCGTCCTTTATAATAGGACCACTTAAGCAGTACGCCTTATTGTATGTATCTCGCTGTTCTGCCCAGACGTAACTGAAGCGTAAATGCAACATAGTTTTAATGCAGCCAGGATGAAGAGTGAGAGGCAGCTGGCGAAGAAGCAAACAAAAAAACCCATCCATCTGTAGTTCTTGCAATAAACAGGGCTACAGTTCGTTGAACCAAATATTTGGAAACTAAAATCTTGATCAAATACAAAATAATTAAACAAAAAGACTTTTCAGGTCCATCAAGGAAAGCAATTTAAAGAACCTGCAACTGACTACAATAATTTCACCCAATATGTTTGACAACCAACTGAGAAAGATTATTGGGGAATATTTTTGAATACATCCCAAAAAGCGTTGTATGGCAAACCAAATTGATATTCATTTAACTAGTCAACTTTTAAACTGTTTACTGCTTTTGTTCCCCTTTAAACACACAGTATCGGGTATATTCATTAGGTACTATATAAAAGAATGACATATACAATTACATAATTATAATATTCATTAAGTAAGTAATGTCCAAACAGTCAAAAAAATACAAATATTTTTTCATTGTTACGTGCCCTAATTATCGTAAAATAATAATAAATATATTTTAAGCTTCTGTCTAAATAACCCGTTCATACCGGCAACTGAAAGAGGATAAATCTGGATCCAGTACCTAAAAACCCGGTGCTATTTTTATACCTTTGCAGCGGGTATTATAATTTGGTCGATATAGCCATGTCCGTCTGTCCGTCTGTCTCTTTCTGTGAGAACTAGTCTCTCAGTTTTGAAGCTATCTTTCTTGTGCACGTAGTACATATGTTTTGTCGGATACAGGTGGATCGGACCACTATATCTATAAAGCGGCCATAGGAAAAATCGGTCGAAGGGTAGGATCTTGTATGAAAAACTCTCTTTATCAAGATATCTTGACCAAGCTCGGCATTAACTATTTTCCCTGTGCTTCTTAGATACTTCTTAGATATATGAGCATAGCATTATGAGCACTATGAAAAGGTTTGACCTGCAAGGGTTTTAAATTTTCGGCGTCCGATTGAAAATTGTTCATTTAGATTTTCAGGGATTCAATCAACCTTCGAAGCCGTCAAAGATATCTAATAAGTAACATAATCCTGAGCTGCATAATATAACAATGTATATAAACCAATTATACGACTTCTCAGAAAAGGCTAAAATGATACGCTTTGACGTTCGCACATTTACGTTCCATAAATAGAGTGATAGTTATTGATTATTAGTTATTTTTATTAAGCTATTGTATTTCACTGCAGCTCTTCAACTGAATAATTTCTGTAACTTATATGTCTGATATTTAACTATTTGGTCGTCGATTAAAGCGTTACTTTCTTATATAAAACATACACAGCATGTCTTTTGCAATGAACTGAAAACGCATTGAAAAAGTATGATACAACATTTTTGGGTGGAAATTATATTAGGAATGCAACAGCAGGGGCAGCCAACTAACGGCATATTAGTATGTGTGGCACACATGCCAGTGACGATGTCGACACAGCTACCATGTTGGGGTTATGCGGGTGCTGCCTCCGCTTCTGCTCCTGCTGCGTCTGCCCCTGCAGGCGTTGTTGTTGATGTCCGTGTCGGTGTGATGCGGTCATGTCATTGCCTCAGCGTGCTGATAAAAATTTTCAACAAACTTTGAGCTAACGACAACGCCACCACTCACTATAAAAAGGGCGTGAGTGTGTGTGTACGTGTGTGTGAGTGTGTGCTCAAACAAGCTAGTTCTGAGCTGAGAGTCGCGCGCTGCGCTTGCCGCAAGCCTTTCCGCCAATTTCAAGCGTTCACAACGCGGCGGCCATTTTGAAAAATGACCAAACGCTATTAGCTCTTTCTCTTAGTAGCGGGAAGGGTGGGGCAGACCAAAAAAAAAAAAAAAAATAGAAAGCTACGTCTAAAATATTAGTTGCTACATGTTTCATATCATAAAACTTTATAGCTGGTTTTGTTGTTGCTGTTGCAATTGCAGCTGCAGCTGTGTCAGAAAATGTTCATGAATTTTCTGTTGCTTCATGTTGGACGAAGAATGCAAAATTTAATACAAATATTTAAAATGCGTTTAGGATGAAATATTTGCTAGACACAAATAGATAAATAACGGCCAAATAAAAAAGGAGCTATAGCGGCAGACATCAAATGCTGATACGTTCGCTTACTGAAAAAGTATATATGTATATGTATGTCTCGGGTCAAGAGTATTGAATTGGGTAAGCCTGTTTATCTTGATAAACTTATACACTCTATACAAAATCACTTAACAGAACCTTTAAATACTTCGGTAATGGAGTACCATTAATTTAGGTCTAAAAAGTTAGTTTCAAATATATTTTGAAAATTAAACATGAAAGAAAGTTTATTGAATATCAATGTCTGATTATATGGTATAATTATTTAAGCCCAGCTGTGAGCAAGTAGGCATAACAACTATACTCCTGAAGGGCAGTATATTTAAATGTATTTCAAAATTTTCAATTGTTTGCAATTGGAGTTTAGCGGTTAATACTCATTGAATACTCATTGTTCGTGGAAATGCGTCCAAAGAAGGTTGAGAAAGAATTTTGCTCCATACAAAAATGGCCAATGCTGAAAATCTCCTTCCATCAGTTTTTTAAGTTTTGCTGCATATTAAATATTATATTATATATAGTGACTATGTCTGAAGCTACTTAAGCTTCCTTTTTGTTCAAAAGTTAGCATTAAGACGGCGTTTTGGAATGTTCGGAAGAATACATAGAATTGCGGTAACCATTAGAGTGATAAATTACTTCTGTACATGTTATATTTATCAAGTCGAGAAGGTTGCGTCTTACTTGAGTTAAAGTCGGGTCGGGAAGTACTGTCCATCTAAAAACGGAATCCTGTGATATGACTACTATTCATTCTTTAACAATTCCTATTTATAGTTCTTGACCAACTGTTGCGCCAGACAACAGGGTGCAAATATCGAGGGAGAAATGGCCACTAGAAAACTGGCCATCAACCCATTTTATTTGATTTTTTTTTCAATTTTCCGCACAATCGAACGAAAGGCAACAATGACAACAACAGAAACAACAACAATTTTCACTGTCGCCTATCGGGCAGAACGAACCCTTCAAGAAAAATAGACGTACATATAAAACGGAGCATGTGTGTAGGAGTAGAAGGCGAAACCAGCGAAATAAGCAGACTTTTCAACACATTAAACACAATAAATCCGAGCCGTAACAAAGACAACGAGTAAACAACTTGACGCGTCTGCCAAACTGAGCGTTGAGTAATGTCAACATGGGCCCAAGACAACAACAACGAAAGCGTCAAAAGCAAAAAATATGCCCCTGAATGGCATCTGGCATCTGAACTCGCTGAGTAATCTAAAATCCGCACAGCACACACACACACACAGAAAATCCAATTGACTGTGACCGTATTGTTGTGCCAGTGCTGAGGCAAAGCCGCAACACATTTGCCAGCATTAGTAAGATTGCAATTACTGTTGTGCGGCGCAGCTTTTGCGTGTGTGTGTGTGTGGGTATGGGTGTGCTCGCGCCTAAAAGCAGAGACTGTAAAACATAAGCACCGCACACAATGCAATAGCCATGACAACGAGCTAAACTGCAGTCAGTCAGCACGATGGAGAGATCAGGGACAGGAGCCAAGAATTTTGCATCAGTTGGATGCGAGGCGCTCTGGCAAACAGAGGCGCCTTTAATAAACACACTCGACCGGCTTTTGGTTTTGATGTAGAGCTCTCTACAAATGTCAAGTGTCGCATTGTTTGTGTTTCTCTTCTCCGAGAAAAAACAGAAAAAAAAGTATAAAAAGGGGTAACTAATAAAGCTAAAGTGTCATCAGGACAGCCTTAAATCCTAGAGCCAAAGAGCTATTATTACAGTTTCAGTGTACTGAAACAGTTTTTTATTTGATCACGAGGTAAATTGAGTTTTTAGTCTAGTAATTGCAAGCTCAACTTTTCAGTCTGCGCGTATCGAGAATAATCGGATACTACGCGAGTCTCTCTTTTCCCATGCACAACTCAATTTGGCAAAATGTAAACGATGCCAAGATGTGCAGAAAATACATGATACAAGAAAAAACAAGCTCATATTTTTTCGAATTTTGCAGTATAGGTGGGGCGTGGCGTGGATAAACTCGCGCATTCTATGCGCAGAAATTTAATTTTAATGCGACGCAAACTGTTTTGCAGTTCATTTGCGAATATAAACACAACAATCTTTTATATACCCGATCACAATTTATCTATAAAATATGTATGTTGATAAAAAGAGAAATTCGTAGGAGCGGGAAGAGATAATGATATAAAAAACACACCAAGCATAACTTAAATTCGTGGTTTTCTTTAGATAGATATACTTAAGGCGAATAAATGAAAGTTTACTGTTTTCTTAGTATGTAGCAAGCTTATGTCAATATGTTAAAAATAACTTTCATATAAATGTGCGAATGCGTCTCTTGTGAGATTATCTAAGATGTAACTCTGGGAACTGACATAAATAAAAGCAGGTGGGAGCACGCACACAATTGTTATATTCTCAATTCTACGCAATTGTATTTTTAGCAAAAATTTGTACATATTTAATATAACTTGACTCTCTTCATATATGATATGATTCGCAGGCCTTAAAGTGAATCACGGCATAACTCAAATGGACGCAGCTGCCAATTGAGTTGCACTATCGATGTGGCCAGAGGATGAGTTTGCTGGATTGAAAAGGTCGAGTGACTGATTGACTGAATGCCAGAGGTATTAAAGTAATTGCATGCAATTGTATTTCGTACATGAATTTCCACATTTTCAGCCTGTCACAGTGAAATCCAAACATGAAAATGCGGGCAAAATGAATAGTTGGATAGGCTGTATCTTTTGCAGGCCCACTGTGCATATATTGGATCTATCGGTACCTGAGTTGTGTATGCAGCTATTGACTACATTTTCTGATTAATGAAGCTGCCATTCAGAAAACGCCAAAAGCGTTGCCTGCCACAGTACCAAATTGAACTGTTGCATATGCTAAGAAAGACAGAGACAGCAACAGAGATATGACCCAAGAGATACAGAGAGGGACAGACGGAGAGAGTGAGAGAGACAGAGAGAGAGAGAGAGAGAGAGGAAGGCAGGGTGGCAGCTTGCAAATTGGGAAAACGCCGAACACATTGCGTTTACTGCCAGCTGCAATCTGTGAGATATTTTTTCATCGTATTTTCAGCCGGCATTTGCATAGCTCTCTCGCCCGCTGCACTCCACGTTAACCCAGTTGCACCTGCGAAAACGCCCTATAGTTCGCCTGTTTGTATGCTGTTCGCTGCCAAAGAAAATATGTCAAAAATCAGCAAAATCTGAGGAAAAACGAAATATTCTTCGATCGCATACAGCTTGCAAATGTACGTGCGCCGCCCACGCACATGCACATACGCAGCACACACACACAGGCACACTCACACACACAGGCATATAGATACGCGCCTATCGCAAAGAGACTTAGCTGTTGTGCTTGTTGCTGGCTGACGGCTGTTTCGCGCCGTTGCCTAGTTGCATTGAAGCTGACACCTTGTCAGACACCGAGACGGCTGAAAGTATGCAAACTGTTTCGTCTGCTGTCGGCTCAGATTTTCGTTTTCATTTTCCGAAAAATGAAATTGTTTGCTCTTTAGCTGCAGTTGTTGCAACTGGCGTTATCCGCAGCTCCTTTGAGCCGAGCGCAAACAGAAAGTGCACTTCTTTATTCGATGATCGATATTCAATTGTGCTTTTCAATTGCAAAATAATGAAAAAGTTGCAAGCCATACACATGACACATTTTACGTATCAGCAATCAAATACGGATGCGTACAAGTCAAGGACGAGATGTGCAGATAATGCACCCCTTCCTTGCTGGAAGGCTCCTTTGTCTGAGCGACGTGTTCGTGGGAGAATGGTATCATGTAACGCACCTCGTTTGATGAACGCAAGTAAACTACATATTAAGCAAATAGTATTAAAACTGTAATTTGTAAATCGTGCCTGTTCATTTCGCCGCTGAAATTTCAATTTAATTTAATTGGAGCAGATTAAGGTTTCGTCGATGAACAACTTCGGGCGCGTTAATTAAGCGCGCACTTGTAGCATACTTTTGCGAGCGCGCATTTTCGCGCATCTCCCTTCCTCAATGGAAGCCGCTCGAATTCTCGCTGGCTGTGAGTAATGAAGTGCTTTAAATATTAAAACCAATTTACGTGACAACATACGCGTGTTATGAAGCTTGTTACCCGCATTGTTGTTATTAATTCTGTGTCCCAAAAAATAAACCAGCTGGCGTATTTCCATGACTTGGCCACGGCCAGGCTCCGAGGCTAGTCAGGGCTCTGGCTGCTGCGCCTGTTCACAGGCTCGTGTGGCCCGTAAACTTTTGCAATTAATCAAGATAGGGCAACCAGCAACTGAACAACCACTGCGTCGTCGACAACAAAGTCCCATTTGCATGAATCTGCCATATGGCTGGCACTACCTGGACAGACTCGATCCCCGCCCCCCAATCACGCTCTCGCCCTCTTTCGCTGTGTGGGCGACACAAGATTAATAATAATAACTACGACTAGCGCAGCGGTTGGTCAGCAAGTGGCATAATCATGATTTATGACATGCAATTAATAAGCGGCATGCCCGGACAAGCGACAGGAGCCGCAATTGGAAGCTGTTGAAAGGCCCCCTGCAGCTTGCCCAGCCTGAACCTCAGTCCAGTCAAATGCACATTTGTAAAGCACGCACTTTGTTGTTATCTTTTTGTAATGACTTCTAATCATATTTTTGATTTAATAAAAATCTTGATTGAATACTAAGTGCAATTATGGCTCTCTCAAAATTATAAAAATGTTTATAAATTTATTTTAATTTACCACGAAACATGAGAAAATTTACATTAAGCCAAACAACTCGGTGAATTGTGACAAATGTGGTTAATATTAAAACGGCTTGTCCTTGCACAAATTAAAAACAAGCTTCGCATATAGAAACCAGATTAACTTTCCTTTTAGTCCATCTATATGATTTCCTGATATACACAAGTAGTCAATATATAAAATTGACAACAATAATTATTATAATTACTTTAAAAAAGAATCCCAAAATAAAAAGAAACTAAGTGCTAATTAGTGAAGTAAGTTGTAAAAGCAAAAGTAATGCTAGTTGTCTTTGGTAAATGAACTGTCCGAGTCGGAAGAAGAGGGTCGGGCAACTGAACAACCTTTAGTATCCGGCGAGTATATAATTGTAGTGTTGTTTTAGCCGAAAGCCTTAGTTGACTCTGCTAATTAAAAAGAAATTGGTTTATCTATGCTGTGATGCACAGACCGAGAGTTAGTCAAACGCCAAAGCTGTACCAATAAGAAAACATCCATTTTCTATGCTCAGCTTTTAATTTAAATGCACATTTTCTATCGAAAATCCATTTGCTGATTTCATCCAACTAATTTGAGTCTTAATTAGCTTTTGTGACTAGCGATACAGTGAAAGTCAACACTTAAATATTTATTTAAACATTCATATAAATTTGCATCTTTATGCCATCAACCGTGTTGCACGAATGTTATCAAAAACCTTTACAAAGGTTATGTTTAAATAATTAAATTGTTTTACTCCTAGGTGTTGACCACAGAATTGCATTTATTAATTGCAGCCCAAAAGTGAACTCGCCTCGCCCCTGCTGTTGTTGCGGCTGTTGTGTGTACAGCTAATTAAAATAAATGGCTTGTGACAATGCCGTCAATGTGGCCACCAATGGTCGCCAGAGTTAGCCCAAATGGGTGCAAATGACGTTTCGGTTGGCCGCCTGTTTTACAGTTCATTTATGGCCTAGGGTCTATTTGGCGCTATTTTGAATATGCCCAAGGCAAACATGTGGCAGTCGTTGTTGTTGTTGTCTCTGTTGTTTTTCCAGGCAGTTAAAATAATTACTTTGTAATGAAAATTATGGTAGGGCGTCGACCGCCCAATGCAATTATTTCAGCTTGTGCACATTTGCGCAATTGTTTGCAATTACATTATGAAAAACACTTTTAAAATTTGCATTTGTTTACTTTTTGCCTCACCAAATATAATATATAGAATCAGCAACAAAAGTAAAAACTGCGAACGGCATTAAATTGAAATGCAATTTGGCAAATAATTTAAATAAATGGTGCAACATGAACATTAAATTGATGCCGGCAGCTATGTAATTGCTTTTTTAACAGTATTTGTTTAATCAACCAATTCCTCGCTAAATATATTTTACATAATTGCATTACTCATGCAATCAGTTTCATATATTAACAAATTGTAGAAAGCTTTTTCATTTGTCATGTCAGACAATTTATCGCAGTTACTCATCATGCACCAATCACTGCATTCAATTGCACTTGAAACTCGAGCTCATAGTTGCAGACTCCAAATTATGGCTTAGAACGTATAGATTTTGACCAGATATGATTAGCAGATAGTAGGTTAGCTTTATAAAGTATTTATATACTCTATAGTTTTCAGTTTGCCGGGTAAAACTTGTCCGATCAACCTAATAACACTACAGAAACAATTTCTTTGAACTCTTGGCAATGTTTTGAATCTCTAATTTACTAAATGCGATTGCCCTAATTATAGAAAGTTACAACAAGATTAATTAGTTATTTGGTAAATATAATTCGAAATATATTAAATTCTTTCCGGTAATATTTCTTTGTATTTACAGTTTGCTTTTATCCTTCATATAAGACAAGTCATTCAAAGGATGACAGCTATCTGGCACAGCATTAATTTAATTGCTGAATTTTATCACCCGCATATATGTATTACATATTGGCAAACTTATTAACTGTATGCTGGGTCTAACCGAAGCCAACTACTAATCAAATGCAGGCAAAATTCGAATATTCAAGCCGACCATAAGATAATGTGGGGTTCCAAGCGCTTGCAATCTGACAACTGATAAGTCATCTCGAGCTGGGCACAAGCCACAAGGAAGTGGTGCAGGCTCAGGTACAGGCAGGGGTCAGATCGTGTACAATTAGCAATGCCCAAAAGCGGCGCCAGTCGTCATTAACCCGTACAGCACATAGAGAAGCACGGGGATGGCCCGAAAGGGGGCTGGTAACAGGCATTTCCGTTTCCGCCCGCAGGCGTGCCAAATTGTACGAAATTAGTACTCTGATTTATTTTGCATATTAAATTTGAACACACTGTGAAAGCAGACATGGAGACTGGCAGAACCACAGCAGAAGCAATTTAAATGTTGTATGCTTAGAGTGAGGGGGTGAAGGGCGTAAAGGAGGAGGCAAAGCCCTATGTCAGGTCATGATAGCCTCACTGATTAGCTACTTTTGGGAATTTTCGTGACTTGTCGCTTGATTACTTCTCTCAACTGTCGCCTGGGCTGTACCCAAGTTTTATGTCTTTTACCCACACACACACACACACATCGTCAGTTTAATTCTCTGGTCCATCATCAGCATCATAATGAACGAGCTGGCTAAAACTACACATGAAGTGGGAGTGGCTGTGGGTAGCCTCGATTTCGGTGTCAAAATTTGATTAAATTTTCAATTTTGCTTGCCTTTGGCCTTTATCTGCCGAGCAGTAAAGCAAATTAGTAAGTTACCCTCAAAATGACTACGTAGTTTATTAATATTAATTGCCGATGCTCCGTTTGGCTATATTCGGTAAATTGATAGGTTTCCCATTTTTTTGACTTTTAGTTTCTGCTGGTGCTAGATTGTGATGCTGAAAGTTTAACTTTCTGGATCATTAACTTATTTGATGGCTTCTGCCACATTGTGTAATTGACCATAATATGCGGGTGGCCAAGATAGCTTGTTCTGGACAGGCCAATGCTTGAAGAAACAGCCATTTACTTGATTTAAATTGAATTCGAAAAAACAAACAGTTGTGGATGCGGTTTTGTAACATCTTATCGCAAAGTAGAAATATCTGGTAGAGAATATTATTATAAATTAAATGCTAAATGTCTGCACATACACACACGCACACACACACACTAAAATGCAGTCACCGAACCACCACGAATTACCAAGATAAGTTAAAAGACTAGTTTTTCATAATGTGAATTTCACAGTTCAAATTTTTACATAATATATATATTGTACCTACAAATATTTTATTCTATATTAAAAATAAATATTAAAAAAATGTTTTTCCTCCACAAAAAAAAAAAAAAGTTTACACTAAAATTACACTAAATTCCCTTGTGAAAAAAGAATCATGTAGATGGGCTGTTCGAGACCCAGAAATTGTGAAGCTGTAAAATTAAAATCGGTAAACAAATCTATTTTTTGAATATTGTAAGTGCTCAACGAGGGACAGACTGTAAAGGAATATTGTCGGAATACATTTAAGCAATAAATTAAAAAGAATAAAAAAGCACCTAAAAACCTCAACTTTCGCCAAGTTAATTCTTCTTGATAATTCGCAATCCATCAATGACTTTTTTCGCAAAATTCCGTGTTTAGGTACAGATTGTCAACATTTACCACAATAACAATTAATATTCACAAATATTTCAATAAATAATTTGAGCCAAATAAAAATTGTTGAAAATGTCTTTTGAATATTAACCATAATTAATAATAAATGGCAGGTTCATTATAATTGTACTCACATAACTACTTCTCTTTAAATACTGAGGTAACATTCGAAACATACCTGTAATTAAATGTAATAATAAATAAATTAGCGAATTGCAATTGCAGATGTTTGTTTAACTATATAAAATATAAATAAAGGGTCAAACACCAGCTGCCTTTGCACCAAAATAAAAATGATATTCGTGTCGCGGCTTCTCACTCACCTGACTCAAACGATCCTGACTATCGATGATATCGATAAACAACCGCATGCGATCGTCGAGTATCTGAAAGCCGTTTCGTGGCAGCAGCAGCAAATTCTGCACCGCATCCCGAATGCTGCCCGGGGTGGTGCTGCAAGAGCTGCTGTCGTCGCTATGGAAGCCATTTTGCAATTGTTGCTGCTGCGCTTGATGCTGCTGGAATTGTGGATGCTGCTGCTGCTGGTGTTGCTGCTGCTGCTGGTGCTGTTGTTGCTGCTGGTGCTGTTGCTGCAGCTTGAGCTGCATCGAGTGCTGGCGCAAAGCCTCCGAGCATTTGCGCAAATAATCATAGGAACCTTTCGATTTGTACTTATCGGCCATGGCGTGAAAGCTGTCCAATATTTCATTAAAGTCCGTCATCAGCGGCGCCGTTGAGGGCGTGGTCGTGGCACTGGAGGGCGTCGTCACCGTCAGCGCCAGCGAGCCCAGCGAGCTATTCGATTTGCTCATCACCATTTGCTGTGGCGAGCTGGTAATCACCCGTAGCTCAGTTGTCAGGGAGCTGCTGCCGCTGGCTGCCAGAGTTTTGAGACTGCCGCTGCTTGCAGAGCTGCTGACCACCTTGCTGGGACTGAGCGCCTGCAAATCCTCGCTCATCAGCCGCAAATTATCGGAGATTTGATGAAAGCTCTCCGAGGTCACCAGCGAATGTTCGCGCTGCTCCAGTTTGGCACTGTTGCTGCCGGGCAGCACGCTGCTCTTGGGTCGCCTGCGTGTGGGCAAGCCACAACCACTGACCCCGCCTGCAGAGGAAGCAGCACCAGCAGCAGCGGCTGCAGCTGTGGAAACATTCGCTGCTGCTCCTGGTGTGCCGACTCCTGGCGTGCCGGAGGTTACGTCGGGCATTTGTAGCGGCTTCGAAATGAAGGAGTCCAGCGTTTGGGA